AACTATTTAAATCTATTTGACTTTATGTCTAAAAGATTGATGTTTTCAATTGAAAGCTAATATTGCATAAAAACTATTTGCGAGTAAAAATAAATTTGCATTAAATAGGGAACAGTTATTCTGGAATAAAACATAAATTGAGTTTATATTGAATAGTTTGAGTTTGGTATATTCAGTAATAAAAGCACTATTCAAACAAAAACAAAAAGAATTTAATAATTGACGTATGTTAGTATATTTTAAAATCTTCCGCCTTTCAGTATTTGTCATGTAGGTAGAATTAGTGAACAACAACTAAAAGTATTTCATAATTTAAGTTTACATCTTGAATACATAATTACGCTCATCGGTATAAAGTTTTGACAACGTATACAAATTTATGCATTTTAAAAATTTATTATAACTAATGTATAATTAATCCAATCTTTATGAAACTTGGTTTGTAGTGCCTTAGAAAAACTATCTATAGCTAAACGGCTAATATTGAAAGACTGTTCAATCTACCAATACTGTATATTTTAATATAATTTATTGTAGTCTAAAACAGGTCTGCATGAAAGTCAGCTTAAGTTGTATGTATTCACGTGTATAAAGAATCAATAAATTCAATTCAAATTCACTTTAATATATAATATAAGTTCTATTTTATTTATCAAGTTGTATTTGCTATAAACAAATGGAATTTAAAATATTACAATATACATGTATATTTTGTTATTCAAAATTGTTTTTGCAAAAATTATAATAAAAACTTTATAAAGTAACACTTAAAATATTATAACCCAATATAATTACAATTCTGTAAATTTAAAAACAAGAATGATAATGTACTGCACTGTTTATGATGTTTTCTTTGACAATAAAATATGCTAATATCTGAATTAAGAATACAATTCTTAATTCATTTCCTATTTACCATATTATGGTAAATAAAAATTAACGAAACATTTTACTTTAGATAAATTAGTTTTAAGCAATAATTGTCGAGTCGTATAAAACCATTGGTATTTAGTAATTGTATGTAAATTTTTTGCATTTAAATATAAATAATAAAAGAGTAAAACAATCAAAACACTTGAAGCAGTGCTATGTTAGTATACTATACGGTAGTAGTCTAGCAGAATGTTTTTTCTCATATTAATATTGATTTTGATTATTTAAAATTTATATGATTTAAATTGTTTATGATTTTAACTTTAAACTGGAAACCAAATTTGCAAAGCCTTTTGTACCATATTCGTGATCCGCTTATATTTTACTCAAACATCTAGTTTCATAATAAAAAAACAAATAATAATAATATAAATATATTATTGTCATTATTTTATAATTTAATATTTTAAATTCTTTCTAAAAATATTATAATATTGTATTAAAACTTTTATGAATATTAATGTAAAATTGTGAAATGTTTACAGTTATATTAAATTTATTTAAATAATTTGAAATATAAAACTCCAAAAGAAAATATATATTTAAAGTATATTTTAATTATTAAAATTTACAACCTACATGGATATGTAGATTTAAAAAATGTATCTCGCTAATATATTGCATAATATTCACTTTAATTTGACATTTAAATTATTGTAAATTAAAACAAAGAGTAAACATGTACTTTATTGACATCTGTCGGATACAGTACATACGGATCTATCTATCGGTATGCAACAGATCTTGATTAAATAGAAACTGCACTTCTAATTCTAAATAGACAATAGCCAAAGCCAGTCGTAATGTTACAAAAGCCTATGGTGCAATCGGCATTTATTGTTATAAAATGAAAGTACAATCATTAAGGATTCGAGTCATATAATTATAATGTAAACTACAATTTTTGTATTAGATTTTATTTGCAAAATGGTCATTAACAAGATTTTGTTAATGAAAAACAAAAAATTTAAGCTTTCTCTGCATTTAATACTTTTAGTGCCGTACAATCAAATTCCAGTTTACAAGTTAGTAAACATTTGTATTTATAAATTTCTGATTTTTTATTAAGTAAACTTGTTTATTAAACTTTTAATTGACAATTATTAAAATTTACAATATTAAATTAAAAAACAACTCAATTATATTTACATTTTATAGTTAACAAGTTACAATTTATATCACAATATAATATATTTATAAAGAAGACACATTTACATAACATTTTGTTTGTAAACAACAATACTATTATTTAATATATTGATAGCATTAGTTGATTGTTGGACACCAACGCCTGTGCTGTTGGTTCCGGCGCTATACGACTGGTTAGTACTACTCGACTGATCCAAATCGCTGATCGCATATCGGTTTGGGGAACCGCCGTTTCGGCACAGCATCATCAATGCCTATCATGAAATCAATCATGGTCATTATGATCAGTCATTTATTGTAATAATTTTGGAATTGATCATATTTGTGACTTATTATATAATTGTGCAAGTTGTATTATATATAACATATGTTCAAATTGCACAATATGATTACCTCACGAAATTTTTTATGCATCAAACAATAGGTGATGGGATTTGTACACGAGCTCAGGTATGACAGTAAATGAATGTATGATATAATTGATGGGCTCACCATTGAGTACATCTAAAATTGAGTAAATAAAGTTCAATTTAAAAATGCAAGTATAAAACCATGATCATTCAACACAGCGACAATACCTGTTTAGGCCAATAAAGTGCCCATATGTTGATTACATACACAGGTGTCCAACATATAAAAAACTCCAACACCAGAACGCATAGCATTCTTATTACTCGCTTTTTATTTATTATTTGAGTTGACATTCGGTTTGAATTTCTTTGTGATAAATATATATTAAAACATTTGAATCCATAATTTTGCTTATACATAATTTTAAAAATTAATAATAGTTGATAAATTACCCATATTTAACTTTTTTGACCACGGTATTTTCATGACCATTATTAACTGCATTGACCATCATATTAGCAGTTTGAACACCTTTTGGCAAATAATTTACAGATGTTTCTCTCATATGATTACTATTATCTATAATTTAAAAAATGGAAAAATTAATTAATTATTTATTCTAAATATAATGTTTAATACACTTACAAACACTACTACTGTCGGACATGGATGTGGAGGGACTGTCAGACCAGGTCATGAAGTGGTTATGAAAATTATGATGATTGTTGCTGAAATTAACCACATTATTGTTGACTCGGTCCGCATAATACCCTCGATCGGTTTGATTGCCAATTTGAAGTATATTTGAAGTTCCGTACAATTCTTTGCTTATCATAGCGTAATTGAATGCCATTAAAATAAATGGTATAATCAGTAGTAAAAATAATAGGAGTAAATTGAAAATTTCTNTTTAATAATGACTACAATTTTATTACCAATTTTTATTCAAACACTAAATAATGAATAAAATCAATAATAATGAATGATAAAGAATATATACAGTATAATTATATATAAAATTTACTTATATATGAACTATAATTCACATACCCGATTAATTTCTAACACAATAAAAGTCAGAATAATTAATTTGCATATCATTTTTCATTAATGTAAAACTGACGGAAAAATCCTACGCAAACACTCAAAAACAATAAAAACTAAAACATTTTTCGTTGTCTAGAATTTAATGAAAAATATTTTCCATTCACACCATAATACTGTCTGATCGGAATTTTATTCATTTTTGAACCACATTAAATTATATAATACGTTAATAGACTTCATACTTAATCTCTAATTTTTCGATCATAACCATAACGTTATGGTTATGTTATGATTGTGACTAATATAACGATATGATTGTTATGAAACAAAGTTAGATAGTGTTAAAGTACAGCTGCACTCATAAAATAGCCATATTAAATCAGTAATACTTAACTGTAGGGTAAGGGAAAATGACAAATGGTTGGAAAGTTCAAGTATTTTTTAAGGAAGTTTGAATATTTATACTCTATTTAAACAATATAACAGCTAAATTATCTGAGATAATAATATATAAATATTTATTTTAAATATAAAAATATTTTGAAAATATAATTTGTAATTCATAAAAATATTCAAATTATTTTGATATTTTGCAATCAAATTTATGAATTCCATCATTTATTACAGAATATCTTAGAAATAGTTTAAATTGTTTTAATATTGATTATTACAATGTATCTCAATATAATTTTAGTTAGAGTCAAAGGATAGCACAAACAATTCAAAATTGTCACATATTTTCATTAAATATAAGTTTAGTGTTTCCCAATATGAGAAAAATATTGATATTATTATTATTGATAGAAGTGATATACAGGTCCCCTACTTATCCATCAGTAAAAATGAGATAATTTTTAGTCAAATATTTTAATATGCATTTTTCAAAATCTTTGAGACGAACAAATTTTGATAAAGTCCTGTTAAAAACTATTTATTTGATCCTGATGATTCATCAGTGATGAAACTTGTGCTTAGGAATGTCAACTTAAATTATGAAACTAATTTCAAAATTCTATCTACACAGCTTGATAGATAGGCAAGCTATATATCTCTTCTACCAATAATAACATTATTAACATACGTTATAACTGTATATGGTTACATAATATGGTATTAAATATGTAACATTATAACGTTACGATGAGTTGTCAATGAATTTTGTGTTATATTTATAAGTGTGTCAAAATAAAAATTGAAGTAGATTCTAAACAAGTCA